ATCACAACAATCAGGACTGAGAAAGGCTCTATTACCCCAAAGAAACAACTTCGTGCTACCCCTCCATAGTCACATCTCACTCCACCCCAGCCCTAACCTGGCAAAAACTGATCTCCTCTCCACTTCAATAACTTCGTCATTTTGAGAATGCTATATAAATGGAATCATACAATCACACATTCTTTTGAGATTGGCTTTTCTCACTGAGTACAATGCCTTAAGCTCCATCCAAACTGCTGTGTGGGTCAACAGTTTGCTCCTTTTTGTAATGAGTGGTGTTCCATTACATGGCTGTACCACATTTTACCTAACAAGCTACCCACTAAGGATGTGTGGGGTTGTTTCTGGTTTTTAGCTAATCTAAACAAAGCCACTATGAACATTTAAGTACAGGTCTTTGTCTGAATATAAGTTTTTACATCTCTAGGATAAATGCCCAGGAGAGCAACTGCTGGGTCGTGTGTTTAAGTGTCATGTTTAACTTTTTAAGCAACTGCCAAATCTATTTCTACAGTAGCTGTACCATTTGACTTTCCTCCCAGCAACATGAGCGGTAACGTAAGTCTGAAAGTCACAACTTCTAAAATATTTTCCAAAAGCCCAAAAACAATAAGATTAAGCCTCTTAATTGTTACAATCTGAACTTAGTTTTAAAAAAATGAATTTTAACAACTTTTTTCCTGATTCTCAAATAATACTTTTTTCTCATTATCTCTAAGAATTTACAATTAGACATAATCTGTATGTTGATAGCTCTGTTGTCATATTATATAGTAAACTGCAATAAGTGAAAAAAAGCAACACTGCCCCTAGAAACAGTAAAAGTTTCTGCTTCTACGTCTTCCATACACAGTCTATGAAGACTAAAGGTTTAACAGCACTTTCTAACACTTAGTATTGTGAAATGTGATCACAATTCACTTATACGTAGAATCATCAAACAATGGCATTTGTTCAGCTGTTACTTGGTAAAACAATCTGAGAAAAGCAATTTACCTGAAATAAAGCTGTAGTTATCTTAGCTATAAGATTTCTAACTTCAAGATTTTTTTTTTGACTGTAGATATAATTGACAATTAGATAGGTAACGGAGTCGCTTTTGGGTTCTTGAAACAAGGAGCTGGGTCTGGAGCAGACATATCTACCCCACATGCAAACAGCAGCAAGACAGCCAGCCTGCCAAGAGAAAACAAAATAAATGCACAGAAACAAACTATAAGGCCTCCCAAAGAGTGGGATGGTGCTGCCCTTGCTCCTAATGACTTTCCAGTTCTCATTTAGTTCCTTGCAGGACCAGCTATATTGCTCTGGATATTAAGCTCCATAAGACAAATGTGTCCTTCCAATTAAGTGTGTTATTTATTCAAAAAGTATATGACAGAACATTGCCAAATCTCAAACTTAGTAACCCTCCAATTTAATTATATGATTCCACGTAGTATATCTTCCCACTTAACGTACATGGCTTTAATGATAAACATTTTAGTATGTGTGTATGTTTAATATTCATCCAAATATCTGCCAGTGTGAACAGTGTTTATCTTAATTTTCAAATCCTAGAGCACTGGTTCCCATCCTATGGGCCAGAGACCCATGGAGAGATAGGAGTTACTACAAAGAATCATCAAAATTCATGCACCTACATGAAGACTAAACAAGTAATATGATTCACAATGTATTTTTCCAAGCTGACAAAGATGCTCTGGCTAATAAAATTCTTAATAAATTTACTGAAGAATGTTACTAAAAGTAGAGTAGTTCTTGTCAACAGTATTTACTAGTATTAAAAATCTAACTTCTATTAGGGGGGAAGGGTACACCTCATACCTCTCTAGGCTCTCTAGAGAGCTTTTCTTTTTTAATGTGGTGTCCATATGTCATCTATAACAAGAATAATAAGGAGAATGTGCTTGAGTTTGAGTGCAAAGATTTAAGACAACATTGGGAGAGATGGAGCAGGAGTAACTGGGAAAGTGCATGAAAGTACTTCAAAACAGCAACCTCAGAATGTAAGGTACTTAGGGGCCAGCCCGGTGGCACAAGCGGTTAGGTGCGCGCGCTCCGCTTCGGCGGCCCAGGGTTCGCCGGTTCAGATCCCGGGCACGCACCGACGCACCGCTTGTTAAGCCATGCTGTGGCAGCGTCCCATATAAAGTAGAGGAAGATGGGCACGATGTTAGCCCAGGGCCAGTCTTCCTCAGCAAAAAAAAAAAAACAGGAGGATTGGCATTGGATGTTAGCTCAAGGCTGGTCCTCCTCACACACACACACACACAAACACACAAAGAATGCAAGGTACTTAAAAATATCCTTCAGGAGTCAAGGGGGAAAAAAAATCTAAGGGTACAGCCCTCTTTGCATCTTTATAATGGCAAGTGGGAACATATTCACAGGAATTTGGGTCACAAGGAGCAAATACATCCTAGGGTACAAACACATCTCGGTTACACCACCTAGCCAAATGCTTTGTCAGGATTCTATCACCTTTCTAAATTAATCTTACATCCTCTTCAAAATTCCATACTTTCTTCAAATGTGCCCTACACATTTACTGACTTCTTGTGTGCTGGATGCTAGATAAGTAAAGTAAAAACAAATGACCTCTACTAATCTAAAACAAAGAAAACTTACTTCAACAAAACACTACAATACCAAGAACAGACTCTGCACCTAGCAGACTTCCTGACACAGAGTAGGCACATGGTTATCTGGGCAATAAACGAGTCCATTTCCGCTCACTCTGAAAAATAACCTCAGCAAGCACGTAAAATATCCTACCAGTCTGAAAAATATTCTCCAGTCCTATTCAGTTACCAATCCATTCTCAAAACCCATCAAGACCAATTTTCATGAAAGCCTAACCCACACACACAAAGAGGCAGCATTTAATTCCCACTAGGTTCACTGCCTGATATATGGAGATACCAGCATTTGCACATTTGCATAAATTCAGGAGTCATCCTTCATTTGATATATGTTAAATTTTAAAGCTTTGCTTCATTTCCAGTAAGTTTTGTTTTTCAAATCAAAATTCTATTCATAGTACATTATTATCTTATTAAGGATGGCTTTAAGGAAAAAATACATAGTAGTCAAAATAAAAATCTTGTTTTTTCTTTTCTAGACATCTAGGACACTCACATATATATTTATTATTATTTCATATTAGTTCTCAAATACAAAAAGAAAAAAGCTGGCCTAATTAAGAAATTTAATTTTAGGGCTTGTCAACATTTTGAATGCAATTACTGTTATTTTTAAAATATACACTTGCATCCTGGAATAAAACTTAGCATAAGTTTTCCATGTAACCATTTCCTGGGTACTTACTAACTTACTATATGCCAGGTTCTATGCTTCACACGTTACTGCCCTATTTTATGTTTAACAAATAACCTCTCATAATTTTTGCAGCACTGAACATAACAAAAAGCCAGTATACTATAAACCTGATATTTGTAGTAGATACTAGTGCTAAGTTGACAGTAATGCTTAACACAAGTTTATTGTTATTAAATTTCAGTTGTATACCGTATTAACACAGAATCTGATCAGCAATGTTGAGATGCACAGAGAACACCATCTGTGGCAGTTTCAGCAGAGAAAGCTATTATTAAGTGACTACTTAGGTTACATTCCCTTCCATAGGTAGAAGAACATAACCTTGTCTACCCAGAACCTGCCGTTTTGAACAGCATAATTGGAATAAAATGATTATATAAAGAACCTTTGCTTCCCTCTGAAATTGCTTTCAAACTGTAGACTAAATTCTCTCCAAAAGTATCATGCTCAGCGTGTAATAAAAAGTAAGGTGCCTTTATTCTGAACTCTTAAAAACAAATGCTGCCCTACATTTTTTTTTTTACTCTTGCAAATTTCAGACTCAACAGATGGGCAATTTTAGTAAAAAAAAAAAAAAAACAGAGAGAGAGAGAAAAGAAAAATAATTAATGAGGCTTCTCAACAGTTTCCTAAAACCACTACCCTCCCAACAGCAAAACAGGTATTTCCAAGTTGTTCCAAGAAAGGCAGATGAGGGAGAGAAAAGAAGAGTCGATACAAAGTGAGACAAAAATGGGTGACTTGACAGAAAAGAAGTTAGAGGATGGATGCCTCTACAGGAACCTAGTGTCTGCCTCCCCTCCCTCCCTCCCTCTCAACCCAGCCACTCTGGTGCTGTTTGTCAAATTTAACTAAATCACCTAAGAGTTTTGAGACCAGAGCCAAAAACTATTTCGACAGTAGGAAAACTACCTTTTGCCGTTGCATACAGCTGCATCAGTTGCCACCCTGCCAGTTAGGGAGAGAGAAGAACGGCGGAGGAGCTGTCAGACAGACACGAACTCCCTCCTAAAACTCCCGCACCGAGCTCCACCGCCCTGCACCTTGCTCTCAAGTGCAAGCTCTCCCCAGGCCTCACTGCGGCGGTGACAGATAAGGGACAGGGCGGTCGCAAGCTGGAAGGCTATCCTCAGGGGGGCAGGTTCCCTCTCCCCTCTAGGTCTCAAGTCAAACGTCACCTCCTCTGAGATGCCCTCCCTAACCCCATCACTGCGGCCACAATCGCCTGTCCTCCTGCTAAGAGCGTTGTTCATGCTATGCATGAACAAACAGAGTGTTTGTTCTACTCTGTTTCCCTCCGGAGTGTGAGCTCCATGACAGCGGAAGGACCCCATTTCTCAGACCCGCCCCGAGCGCCTCGACGTGGCGCAAGTCTCCCCGCGCCCAGACGCCGTCCAGAACGTGGACCTAGGCCTGGGGACCAGTCCGGCCCGTGCAGGCAGCCCGGGGCCGCCGCGGGCCCGAGGGAGACCGGGCAGG